CCTCCCCCCACCCTCCCCCCACCCTCCCCCACCCCTCCCCCACCCTCCCCCCACCCTCCCCCCACCCTCCCCCCCCTCCCCCACCCTCCCCCCCCCCACCCTCCCTCCCCCACCCTCCCCCCACCCTCCCCGCCCCCCATTTTTCAGAAAGCGACAAACCCTACGGCAGCACCCCCCCCCAGCGCAGTTGTCAAAAAAAAGTGTGCCTTCCATGGCGCATTGAGACAGAGCATCAAAAAACGGGAAGACACCGAAACGGACCTCGTGGAAAAAACGGGCCTTGTGAAAAACAGCAAAATCACCGTAAATACCGTGGTTGTCGTGTGTTGGCACGCAAAAACGCAGGTAAACGGACACATTCCAAGCACGGTCGTCACAGATGGCAAGAAGAAGCACGTGTCCGGAAACGCCGCCGAAAACACTGTACACGCGATCACCCCCCCCAGCCCCCCCAGCCCCCCCTCCCCCCATTGTTCAGAAATCGACACACTCTCCACGGCGGCGTAAAGCGCGCAGGCCAATAACAAGAACGATAAGAGAAAAACAGCGAAGTGGCAAAGTGGCGAAGTGTTGCTTTAACGTTGCTTTGCTTCATACCACAGATTATTCCAAGCTTCTAAACTACCATGCCTCCCGCCGCGAAACAGTCACAAAAGCGCAGAAACGTGAACAAAATAGATCCTCAGAGAAATGAGGTGTCTATCCTTCACAGTTTAGTACACGAACGAACACGTATACATGTATAATGGTAGTACTACATGGTAATACTAACGGTAATACTGCTCCAGAAATCAAACCACAAACAAGATCATGCGAAAGCTAAGAGCGGAACCAAATGGCGTCTCTAGCATCGGGTCCAACTCGCCCAACACTCAGCTCGAGCAACGCAGTCGGTGCAGTCTCCTGCAGTCTTCTCCAGCAATGCGGTGAGTGCTGCGCTGCAAGGAACGAAAGAGCCGGTGAAATAGTCAAGCGGCTCCTAAGCCCCAGCTGGGAACTTTGCTCTCAGATGTCCTCAGCCGTCCTGCTCCTTCAAACTCCGTCAATTTCCCGAGCAATGGGTGGTCTTCCACTTGCAGCCTCTGGAATCTCAGATTCTCACAACTGCGAGGCTCGCGAGGCTCGCAGGGCCACTGGGGCAGATGCGGCAGATGCGGCAGATGCGGCAGATGCGGCAGATGCGGCAGATGCCGGCAGGGAGGAAGCTGCTTCGCTCAGCACCAGCTGAAGATTGTGGTGTGATGAAGGCGGCTGTGCTGACACCGGCAAAGGCGAGGTGATGCGGATGTTGGAGCACTCGTTCACGAACTCACGGGGATGCGCACCAGAGTAATAAAAAAGGCTGCTGTCAGAAGGGCTGTGCCAGCTGGCGAGGCTGGCAAGGTGTTGGCTGTTGGGCAAAGTGGGCGCCACTTGCCGCTCCAGTGACTTTAGGTGGCTCCCCGAGCAGGGCTGACATGGCTGGAGGCAGCACAGTCAGCACAGCAGGACGAAGAAGCCTTTACGAAGAGAAGTTCGCGCTCGAACTGAGCAAAGTTAGGTGTTGCAGGAGTAGCTTCGGGTGGTGAATCAAGGCTCTGGCTGCTCTGAGCACAATTGTGACAAAGGCCTGGGGAGAAGTGCTGACTCAAGTTCGACACAGGTTGCATCATCCAACATATCGGAACCGGCGGCCAGTGGCCGACTGGCCTCGTAGTGCCCGACGCTGCACCGGATCACCGGATCACCCTTCTACCTTACTCCGGCCTTTCTGTGTGCGCACCGATGACTGCACTAACAAATGCGGCCACTGAGACGGCACCTACAGACGTTGGCCCACTGCGAACAATGCGTTGGAACGCATCTTCACGATCTGAACATCCAGCGAAGTCTCAAGATGCGACTAAGAGCGGGTGTGTGCGGCGTGCACGGTGTGCGCGAGATGGATGCACGGTGCGCATGGGCAGTGGACTCAATGTGCACGAAGTGCCCTAAGCGGGCGAAGTGCACGCCCAGAAGCCGGGCACACTGGGCACACTGGGCACACTGGGTGCCCAGTGTGCACTGGGTGCACTGGGCACACTACTGAGCACTCGGCAACGCTGCCAGCGAAGCTGCCGGCGGAGCTGTCGGCAGAGCTGTCGGCGCCTGACAGGGACTCAAGTTTCTGAGAAATCTGGGAGAAATCTGGTCTTCACACGAGAGCAGGGCCAGTCGGATCTAGATTCTCAAGTACTCAAGCCAAGGCCTTAATTGGCATCTTTGGCCGTGGCCCTCTATCGTGTGGCGCGTGCTGCGTGTGGCGCGCCTCTTTTTGTTTCGGGGGGGCAATTTGTTCCAAGCCCTCAGACATGGCTTTTGTGACTTTTGTGTTCTCTTTTTTGTGTTAACTGTCAGTGCCTCAGAGACACGAGAAGGACACGCGGAGACCTTGACTAGGCTCTTGAGGGAAGATAGCCTTGTGCAGGCTTGGCTGCTGAAAATAGCCGGCATAGCCCCTTTGTCAAGCAGGGCCTAATCGCCTAAGGTCTAATCCCCAGGCCCTGACCTTTGAAGTTCTGCGCATGACCACGCACGCGCACGCCCACGGAGCCCACGGAGAGGGCTTTGCCAGTCCCAGCTAACGGAGCGTCAGCGCGCACGGGGGCACAACTGTTTGGGAAGCCCAAACGGAGCGAAAGGGCGGCTCACTGCACTCACTGCACTCACTGCGCTCACTGCACTCACTGCACTCACTGCACTCACTGCACACTCACTGCACACTCACTGCACTCACTGCACTCACTGCACTTGCTCTGTGAGGCACGGCAGGCTGGTAGCTAGTGATGCAGCTTGACACGAGAGCTGCTGGGACCTTGCGAAGCTTGTGAAGTAAGTTACGGCCAACAGCTCCTGGGCACATGGCGGAGCGCATTCCCCAAGAAGACCCCAAGACTACAAGATGCGAGCACTTCCGCTGCACGAGTGCGTCAGGCGAGGTCGACAGCTCCTGCGAACCGGCAGTCGAAAGAGTCCAAAGTGGGAACCGTAGGCTGCGAATCCAAAGCCGCCAAGGAAGCCTGCTTCGCCAGGTGCGTGCACATCGATGCCAGCGCCAAGCAGCTAAGTGAAGGAGCGGTGTCTTTAACTCTGCCTCTGCCAGACTTTGCCAGACAGTGGCAGGAGAGTCGAGACTGGACGATCCGCCAGGCATGCTGAGGATGCCCACGAGGCCGCATCGCCGCCAAAGCGCGGCGCAGGCGTGGCCGTCGACGAAGAGCAGCACGGCGAGGTGCGGAAGGCAGATGCACGCAGCCAATTACCCTCAGCGCCACCTTTGAGCTCGGATTTGCGGGGCTCACAAGTTGAAGGCCTGAACACGTGCAGGCCTTGGCCTCTTACGCACGAGATGTAGCAAAGGCTCCAAAAAGCAAAGGTGACCCAGCAGGCCCTGCGGGCTGCAATGAATGCACGGGCACCGCGCACTCACGCAGTTTGCGCCCGCCGGCTGCTTTTGTGACACCGCTCGACCTGACGTCAAGTCGAAGATTTCCCGACGTCCCTAAGACTGTTGGCACGTCGCAAAACAGATGATGGGATGCCAAAACATCTCGAAACCCTACAGTAAGACCTTATACAGATTCTAGGCTCCTAGAGCTCTTAGAGCTCCTAGGGCTGTTGACCCTGACAGGGCCAGGTCGACTACGTCTTAAAACGCTCTAGGGGCTTAATGCCCGTGTTGGTGTTGGAGCAAAATGTTCGTGCCGGTGTACGTTGGAGTTGGAGCAGTCAGCTGGAGTGGTTGGAGTGGTTTTGCTCCGGCCTTGCAGGCGCATGTCCCACGAAGCGGCTGGACTGCCGGAAGGGGCCGGAAAGAGCAGACGGGCCTTGCGGCAGGCTTCGGAGCACGTGCACGTGCAGCACGACAACTCAGACATACATGCGCCCATAGCCTCGGCCGGCAAGACGGAAGACCCTCGATCGCCGATGTTGGATTTGGGACACGGCTACGGTCGCCCTCGGCGCCACTATGTCACTGCGCGCGCGCCGTGGTCACTTGGCCATGATGCTGGGTCGTCCTCGACGAGGCCCTGCCAGTGCGATCCTTCCCTGACATAGACTCAACAAACCTTCAAGGAAATTGGCCTCGCTCAATCTCAGCCCCCTCAACCATTCAGGCAAGTGTTTACTCGCATTGCCTGAAAGCTCAATGGCCACATTGACACGGGGCACGCTTTTTCCGAGGTTTGGGGGCCACCACACTCGTGACGCTTGCCAAGCTCGGTGTCTCAAGCAGCTGGGCCAAGATAGCAAGGAGGGGGGCAAGCGGCATGCACATCAGGCCCGGTGCACTTGGCGTAGGCACAAGCCACATGCTTTCAAGGACGGCGAAAGCAGATGTAGGGAGTTCGGGAGTGCAACCACACGCACGGGCAGGGTGGGGAGTGCAGTGCTCTCCATGCTCAAACCTCAATGGAATCAAGCCTTCTCACACACTGAGCACGGGCAGCGGGACAACACTGATGCAGTCTGTACAGGTGCCCAGAGACTCGCCGGAAACAATCTCGCATCTTGCCAGCAGCGCTTGCTGGCGACGCGCTTGCTGGCGACGCTGAGTGGTTGTCAGCTTGTAGCTCGCGCCCCCACAGCATGACATAACCGCAGAGGCATCACCAGTCACTGAGGCAGTGACCCGCCACAGCGAGAAGTCCCCAGCAGCGCCACATCAAAAGAACTACTTGGCTTCGGCCCTCCCTTCACAAGGCATTTTTTGCACGGAAACGCACACGTGCTTTCACGAAGGGGGCGGCAGCTCAAAGTGCACGGCTCAGAAAATGGGGCACAACAAACATGCCAACTGCCAACCGTGCACGACTTGAGCTGGGAATATGGCGAGTACCAACCCCACGGGACTGAGCCCGAACTGACTGGACATGGCGTCTCTGCAGTTTTGGCTTGCAAATGCTCCTGGCTGCCTTTGTGCTTAAAGCTCCAGGACTCCGACATATCAATTCTTGTTGGCCTGGGCCTTGGTGGAATTGATGGCCTTGGTGCCCTTGGTAGCCTCCCTGCTGGACCTGAAAAGACAGGCGCCGGAAGGCACCAGCGTTTGGGAGCCCTGGACGGGTCTTGAGAGTGGCAATCTCAGTGAGGCACTCTCAGTCAAAATCTCACCATGGCGTCATGGCGCGCCACACCCTTTCCGCACCGCCCGCACCCTTTCCGCGGGGCCGGCACATGCGCAGGCGGCTACACGGGTGGATGGGGTGGATAGGCTGGTGGATGGGGTGGATGGGCTGGTGGATGAGGCGTCGCTGATTCAAACGCCCCTTTCTTGCCTCCAGGTCCTGAGAGTTGCAGAAGGCATCGGTGCCGAAGCACGGCTTATCCTCCCCTGCATGGTGTTGCTTCCCTCTCGAGGACACTACGCCAGAGCCTTAGAGCCTTAGACTGGACATATCCGAACTCTGGACATGGTGTCATGGCTGAGGAGCACCAGGCACAGTGCAGCTTTGTGGTACACGGGTGACCGATGGAAATCGTACCAATCACTTCGTCACTTCTTCGTAGCCCGTTGACTGGGCTATGCCATGCTCTGTGGCCCTGAGGCCTACACAAGGTGGCTCCCCTTCCGTTTAGAGTGCAAGGTCTGCAAGACATAGCTCGAGAAATTCGGATGCAAGCTTCGAGATCACGCATGCCTGACCGCCCGGGGCCACGGCGGAGAATGAGGAGCCAGGGCCGGCTGGGCGGCTGCCACGGACGGTTCGGCGGCATGGATATGGCCGAGAGCTAGCACGCTCAGCACGCGCACTTGGTTGCAACAAGCAGCTCAGAGGCATGGGTGCAAGGGTGCCAGGACCACTATTGAGTCACCAGCCGCACAGAACATCAAGGGTGAGGATCGGGCTTCAACGTGGGCAGCATCAGGGCTGTCGCAGGTGCTGTCGAGGATGCTGTGGCGGACGCTGTGGCAGACACCGTGGCTAACTTGGAGGCCCAGCGCTAGGCTTGCGTAGGGCCTAGGGTGCCACGGCACTCTGGCAAGGCTGGCTCGCATGGCTTAAGTCAAACCTTCATAGGCTCTGACCTGTATTCGGCATCCCGAGCCTAGACTTACTCTTGCTTGTCTCTGCTCTACATTTGCTGGCTTTGCTGGCTATGACGGCTGGCGACCCTGCACCAAACGTCAGGAAGCTTGTGTCCGAGCACGTGACGTGAAAGGACCCCTCGCCTCCTCGATCAACAGCATGAGCGACAGCATCCGTGCAGCGCTCGCAGGTGCTGCCCTTGCCACCACCTTTCGACTGGCTGCAGTGAGGAGAAAGGCGCAGACACCGCATACAGGCGCAGGCCTGAACCAAGCTCATGCCACTCATGCCTGCTGCGAACTTTCCGACGCTAGACCAGCTGCACTTCGCCGCCCCTCAGGCACATCACCTTCAACCGTTCAGCTGACTATCTGAAACCTCACGTTCAAGTTCAGGGCCACAGCAAGAACCTAGCACAGGTACCACAGCAGCGTCCGCCAGAGACACTCTCTGGCTCACCATCCAAGGCACCCGCAGTTGCTTGTGCCGATTCTGCTTCGTGAGAAATTGGATAATTCTTCGCCCCTGGCAAGCTGGGCGAGACTGGGGCACTCGCAAGCCGGAGCTAAGTGGAACTTCCCATTCTTCGTGTGCTCAGGGTGCCTCTCGGGCTGTCACAGATGACACATGTGTCAATGCAAGACGCCGCAATCCAGTGGAAGGCACTCAAGGCGCTTGCATCGTGCAGGCAACATACGCAGCAACCTCATGAGTGGCACCCGGGCTTGTTGGCGGAGGAAGTGGCAGTCGATGTCAGTAGCAAATGTAAACTCGGACGGGCAAGGCCGCGAGGCCAAAAGTGCGACGGCGGAGAAACGACAGCACAGGAAAGCACCTCCGACTCCAGGCCGCTGCCCAGGCCGCTGCCGCTGCCACTCTGTACTGCCCGCAGATGTGCAGGATGTGCAGGGGCGGGCCGAAGACGTCGGGTTGGTCCAGGGCACATAGCTGACATAGCTCCGAGTCGCACGACTCATACGACTCTCTCTCACAATCCAAAAAGGCATGGAGGACCAAAGTCTGGTCGTGAATTGCGTGTCCCGATGGGCGGTAGATCAGGCTTCTCAACACACAGAAGCTCGCACGGCGCAAAAACTCTGGAAGCCTCTTGCTGTTACTCTTGCCGATGCCTGTCTTATGCCCTGTCAAAGACCATGGTCGTAGCTTTACATCCACGTCGTGGCGCTTCGCTGAGCCTTCGCACCTCTACGACCCCGCAGTGCTGGACATGGCCTTTGCTGCTGTTGCGAACGCTCCCCAGCAAAGCTCTGTCCTCTGAAGCTGCCAAGGCCAACTCACAGGCTGCTACCTTCGGCGACTCATGTGACTGTGACTCTGCTGTCTCACCCGTTTAACCCAGAAGAAGCAGCTGGGCACAAGCCTCCTGCCTGCGCGCGATGCAGCGACGCGATGCCGCCATGTTGGCTGCCATGCCAGCTGCCCTGCTGATGTAGTGGCACGACGATTTACAGACTCATGTGGGCATGGGGGAGCCCTGCGTCGGCAGCGCAGCCTGCCCCTCCAGCATGTCTGCATCAGCTGCTGAGCTCGACGACCACAACTCGCGGTCGCACCCACTGAACGACTCACACGCAGGCAAGCAAGCATCAAGACATGTCAACGCTTTCATGACAAAGCCGGGCATTGCAACCTAACACATCCGTGATTTGAGCAGAGGGTTTTCGCAGTGCTCAACATGCCATCACCAATCGCCTTCCGAGCACACGTCGGGTGTGAGAAGCGCTTGGGCGCCTGTGCCTCTGCTGCTGCCTCAGCTCAGGAGAAAGTGGTGCGGGTTGGGAGGACTTGGCAGCGCTTGGCAGCACTGTGAGCGCTGTGCCAGCGCTGTGCCAGCGCTGTGCCAGTGCCAGCAGAGCTTCCTCCGCGCCCAGGCGGCTGCAGGTCAAGACCGGAGGCAGCGGCTATGGGGACACTGTTCAGCTGCTACGCCCACTTCAAGTACCATTAGTGCCTATATGTGCCTATCATACCCGACGCCTTGCGGCACCAGTCCTATGACACTTGCGACTCCTCTGATGACAACCTGACTGAATGACAAGTCGCGAAGGTAACACTTCTGTCCGGACAGCTTCGCAGCGGTACTGGGGGAGGCCCGGAGGCAAAGATGTGTCAAGGAAGGGGTGGTCGAATTAAGCCGGACAGGGAAGCCTTCGATGAAGTCGGATACTCGAAAAGGCCGTTAACTTTGTTGTAGGTCTGGGGTGGTGAACGGAAAGCAGGAAGAACAGTGGACAATGACAGCGCATGACCACGGCCAGAAGTTTTCAGACAGTTTCAAAGACATGACCGCATGTCGAAGAGGCCGTGTGAGGCCTCAGTGCGCTTCTTGTGACTCTGGTGCCGGCTTCTAGTGGGCCTCTATAGAACCTAGCGGCCTAGCGCCCTGGAAGGCTACAGAGAATCTTGCGACTCGAAGGGCGACCAATTCGGAGATGGCTACAGCGGCTACTTCATTACGGCCACCAGCGTCACAGCGCTGCGAAGGGTGCTGCCACCTGCAGAGCCGAGCCCCGCGGTCTTCAGACTCCAATTCGACCTACATGCAAACACACAACTTAGGCACAATTGAGGCCCGTGGCCCCTTTCGGGCTACCAAGAGGCAGAGTCAAAGCTACTGCAGACCGTGATGTACTGTGAATTCACGTGAATTCCCATCCATGCTGTTGGCTTAGACTGCCTGATCAGGAGGAAGGTCTTCCTCCACCCCCCAGCCTCGGGGGCCTTGCGGGCGGGGACCTATCAGATCATCATGGGCCCCCGCCTGGCATTACGCGGCTGGCTCTCAGGCTTCTCTAACCGCCTCAGGCGCCTCAGCTGGGGCTTTCACGCTCTGACTCGCCCAGACTCGCCCAGGTGCTGGGGCCGAGACATGATCACAAGTGAGCGAGCTCGGCGAGCTCGGCGAGCACATAACTCACACAACGTACTTAGGAAGCGGCACCGAACACCACAGACAGAGTCAAAGGATTAAGAGAGGATGCCTGGAAAAGAAGCGTTGATGCCCCCAAGAGATCCGAAAGAGCTCAGAACCGAGGTCCCTCGGCCGGTCGGCCGTTGGGCAAAAAATGGGCACGCCCATCCCAGCACCTTGCGCCTGTGATCTCAGCTCCCAGAGACCGTCTTAAGCAGAGACCGTCAAGCAGCCCCACCGAAAAGGGTCGATGGTGTCGCGCCCGATGTACTATCGGCGTGCTATCGGTGTGCTATCGATCTGCTATCGGTGTGCTATCGGTGTGCTATCGGTGAGCTCTTGCTTGGAAGCAACTATGGGAGGGAATTCTGCCTTGCACTAAGTCACTACAAGTCAACAGGCTCCCACCACAGCCACCACACGTGGTCACCTCTGACAACCTGTGAGCTGCCCACGGCAAGGCCCCCCAAAGCAGGCCTTCTCAGTCTTTTTCATTCTGTTGAGAGCTCCCGCGAAGAGGCCTCTCCAGTTCTCGGTAAGGAAGAGTGAAGAAAAGTGCCTCGCTCAGTCACAGTCAGAGTGGCAGCGTTGCCATCAGGCCCCTGAAGCTCTCAAGAAATGAGAAATGGGAAAGCGAGAGAGAGGAGAGGAAGAGGAATGAAGAGGAAGGGAGAGCAGTAGAGAGGGAGAGCAGAAGCCGGCGAGGGTGCAAGTGCCCGATGCATTCTTTCTACATGTGCGAATGGAATGGGCCTTCTTTACCTCGCCGAACCTCGCCGAACCTCGCTCTCCAGATTCTCCAGTGGCAGTCGCTTCAGGCTATTTCAGGCTTCAGCGCTCCTTAAGCACTTCACGAGACCCCCATCTCTCGTGCATCTCGTCATCCCGGAACTCTGACAGTAGCGCGAGCAGCGCCACCTGGGGCCTCAAGAACATGTCCAAAGCTCCAAGTTTAAGGCATTGAGCTGCAGCTTTCTGCGCGTTCCCCGCTTTCCGCGTATTCCGTCCTCTGCTCACAGCGCAGGGCCGGCTGCGCCGTTCCAAGATCTTCGTTTGCCGCATTGCCGCATTGCCGCATTGCCGCATTGCCGCATTGCCGCATTGCCGCTTGCCTATACTTAGGGTCCGAAAGGCTTGCGGGGACGAGACTCCAGCGAGCCTTGCTCCGGTGCACACTGACACTGTCAATGGGCCGTAACATTGAACTGTTATTAGCTGGTGTCTGCTTGGACATGGTGTGAGCTCAGTCAACAAAGCTCAAACACACTGGAAACTCTTGCGTGAGCGTGAGCTGTGCAACTCGAGGGAAGATGAAGGCTTGCGACCCGGCCTGCACGAATGCGTCAGCGCTGCAGACCCACATTTTGCGGCCATGAACGAGGGGATGCGATGAAGAAGGGGAAGGTGGTGTGAACGCGTGCCAAGGAACGAGCCTGCGAAGCAGCCTGCACAACAGCCTGCATTCCGGCCTCCACTATATTACTTGTTCAGGTTCATGCAATCTCCTCACAGCACGCCGATGGCTGTAGTGGCCGTTGGGGCCACGGCCTCCACGGCCTCCACGGCCTCCACGGCCTCCACGGCCCCCACAGCCTCCACGGCCCCCGGGACCATGGGCTTCTGATGGGTGCGACTGGGCGTGAAGTGGAGTCTCAGCAGTTCGTCAAGTCGGCGAAATTTGTTCGCAGCTTGAAGTGAGTGAGAAGTGAGTGAGAAGTGAGTGAGAAGTGAGTGAGAAGTGAGACGCGAGCTTAGACGGAGGGTATCACACAGGAGCCATTCGAGGATGCCATCATTTTGCAAGGAGGGGGGGGGAGACAGGACTTTTCTGTTGCTCCAATGACCGGAACGACAGGAATGCCTTGTGCAGTGCTGTGATCCGCCTCCGCCTGCACTCACGAGAGTGGTGTCCGGGTTTAACTTAGAACCAGTTGAACTTCAGCTGCGGGTGTTCTATAGACTGGAATTGTGTGTGGAATGTGCTGAAAGCCGGGCTTGGGGGCTGCTCACGCCTCGAGCTGCGGCAAAGCTGTTCTCAGACGGATACTTTGCACGTTTCTGCAGATTCCAAGTGATGGCCTCCAGGGGCCTTCAAGGGGGCCTTCACAAAAGGCCTTCTCAGGGGGCCTTCAGGGGGCCTTCAGCCTACGGGGGCCTTCGGGGTCTTTGTCACCTGCGACAGCCGCGACAGCCTGCGACAGCACACAGGAGCTCATCAGCGCAGAGTCTAGGAACGGAGAATTCATTTGCTCGACAAAAACACTCTTAAGAGCTTCATCCCCTGCTACATCCAAGTGAGACCGTCACCGAACGCGGCTATGAGAAATTATGACAGATTCTGTGACCCGGTGGCGGCGTCGAGCACTACATTCGCTTGCAACGGATGCACGCACCGAGATGGTGCAGCCACGCAACAGAGACGTGACCCCGGCGACGCCCAGCAAACTGGCTGGTCAACTACATTAACTACATCACTCACGAAGCTCAAGCAGCTACGTTTCAGACCTCAACTCATCAGCTCTTCCAGCTTCTCACGGGTCGGGACGAGCTCCAAACAGAGAAGGAGAATGGAAAGCCACCCAGTTGTCCTCAAGCCTTGATAACGTGGGAGGGCAGAGCCGGGCAGAGCACAGGCCGCGCCATACCTCAAGAGCGGTAAACCGGGTACAACTTGAAAGGGTGGAAACATGCGGAAACTGAAAAACTCTGGATGGCCGACTGAATGGCGAAAGAGTTGTGACTGCTTATCTCGTGTCCAGAGTTCAGCTCAGACTTCACAGAGTTTCTCATCCAACCCGGCTAGGCCAGCGAGCGAAGTGAGAGGGACAGGCGAGGGCTCAGCGAGAGTAGGAGAGCGGGTTTAAGGAGAGCGGGGCGCAGGAGTTGAGCCAATGAGTCAGCCAACAGCGCCCGCTCGGCCCGCTCCGCCCGCTCGGCCCGCTCCAGCTCCCAAAAACGGCGACGCGGTGCTGCGCAGCTGGCGCGGCTGTTGCGGTCATGTGCGCTTCAGCAGAAC